TCATGGTTATACTAAGATCCGGAAGAACGTACACTACAACAGCTGGTGAACTCCTTGTGAGCACTGAGCAGAAGACTGATGGCTCGGTAGAGATCCCTCTGACTTCAGAGCAGTAAGTCTGTCTCTTTGATAAGAGACGAATTTTACGTCATTGTGTGACAAAATTTCTATGTGAATTTTTATGGATCCGCATGGTGTGAGTGGTGGCTATTATATAATCTAACCTTTTTTGTCGCTTTTTCACACATGGAAAATGGCATGGTGCTGGCGGCGATTGCCTCGTTGACGGCGCTGCGCTCTTTCTTCTTGCTCCAAAGGCGTCCCAAATTGATTGTAAAAATCAGTTTCAAGAGATAAGGATGATAGAGGACCCAAAATCGAAAGTTTTGTGCAGTATTTATTAGAGATCGACTTATTATACAGATTTCTGAAACTGAATCAACTAAATCATTCGCTAAAAATCTCCAATCTGATTGTACGATTTAGACCGATTTCGAAGAGCAAAAGAGCTCACAGCGTAGAACCTAAAGGTATCGGCATTGTTGAAGAGAATGAGAATTGCAAAAGGGTCAAGGTGGATGTGGCTGAGTCGGAAGAGAGGTAAATTCTAATTCACAGACTGCGGTGACTATAGCTTAGAAAATTGTAGCTCGCAACAAGTAGATAGACCTTCACCTCATGAGAACTTAGCCGGGGAAGAGGAGAATTTGGCGCAGGTTCTTGCCAGATGGTAATAACTTTCCATTAGCATTTAAGTTTTTGGTTCATGAGATGACTTGCAGTGCTCAAGAAGATGCAAAACCTGAAGAAGTGGTTGTCCCTATTGTGGAAGCGCAAGAAAGTTTGCCAGCTTTTCAGATAGGGTAAATTTGCTAATTCTCGCACAGATGTACTAAGCTGAGTTTCAGGTTGCCGCTCCCGGTTAGGGCAAGAGAAAGTGGAGAGAGGGAAGGTGGAGGACTCATTGTTGGTCAGAATATAGCTGTTGACCGATTTTAGTAAGCTGTGTTTTCCTATTACCACTGCTTCGCTTTTTCTCTTCCTTTTCATTTCTTTTTTTGCAGCATCAATGATAGGTGCGAACACCATTTTCTCACTCACGCTCATGTCCTTATCAATGTAAGAAATATTTTGCTTACAACTTGCCTCCTGAGCACGAAATTTTTATAGAGGAGATTCATTAGTTGGGGCGAGAAACCGATTTATTGCTCCCAGCTGACTGCACGACTTCTGCCATTAGTGCTACAGTAAGTCTATTCCACGCTGTTTTCGTCCCTGCTTGTAATTTTCGTTTGCAGAGGAAAGGCTTTGTGTAAAATAATACGTCCCTTAGAAGTTGGGAAAATTCATAGCATTGATGCTACGTTACAAGTTAGTTTGATTGAAATGACTTTGAGGATTTTCCGGCAAATCATGGCAAATTCAAAATTTGAGCGGTTGTTTTAGGTGACTCTGCTGGATGCAAATCATTGCCCTGGATCAGTAATGTTTCTATTTGAAGGTGATTTTGTTTCAAACTTTTGCTTTCCATCTTATACCGCACGAAGTTTGAGGCTCTTCCGTGCCTGGCGGAAGTGCTCTGGTGACGGGACATTTTAGAGCGGACAGCCAGTTTATGGCGCTTTTTGACAGTGATCCAGCATTCGTGCGATTGAGTCAGGTTCGGTTCATTTGAATTCTTAATCGGTAGAGTGTTTTTATTTTATCAGTCACTATTTTCATGAGTTTCTGTGCACGCACTTTACGCGCTTTTGAGCCTTTTTAACGTTTTTTATTGTTTAAATTATACGGACCTTCGAATTTCTTCAAACAAGGTCTCTCTCAATTTTCTTTATCTTCATAGATTTTCTATTACTTTGGTTGACTTGCCTGTTCCACTTTGATTTCTTAGACATTCCTCTCTACGGTATACGTCGACGCTACTTGCTTTGATGAAACGCTTGGATTGCTACCCGAGAGAAAAGAATCGGAGAAGAAGTGAGACTAACTTTTTTCTCCAAGAATTTCTTGAGTCTTATATTTGAGGCTAAAAGGTCATGACTCTTGGCGCCTGAAACTAATACTCACTCGTCAAAACTTCTATGATTGTTGTAACATCTTCAAAACTAGCATCTTTCAGATTAGTTGGCGAGATTAATAAGAACCAGGTGCGTACCATCATAATTCCCATACCGAAAGTCGGCATGGAAGATACATTGGCTTATCTAAGTCAGGAACTTTCGGTATGCAGGCGCAATATTATCGTACTCGAAACGAACTCCTATTTTAGGAACCTATATTGGTGAGCTCCCAGACGTTATCGGTGTCAAAGTTGTGCGGAGTAAAAGGTGGTAAACTTGTTGCGAATGGTAATGATGCAAATTTCCGTATCCGTACCTTGTCCGTCACCAATATGTGGTCCAGGTGAGAAACGGAACTTTGAACGGCAACAGTTTTTTTACTCGCTCCTTCTCTCTATAAAAAATGAGATTTTTCGTATCGCTATCGATCCATACCACTCACTTTTTTCCCATTTCTGTTATGGACGGAGCTTTCCATAAAATCACTATCACTTATGTGTGGGCAGAAGTAAAGTATCGATACCTAAAAAACTTGAAAATTACGTACTTTTAAGGTTTTCTTCAGATATTTAATTGTGCAGATGCTCTGAAGAAAGCAGAAAATTTAGTACTTCTAAGATCTTCTTCAGCTGTTTCAACTGTGCAAATGCTCTGAAGAAGGCACCAAAACCAGCAGTGATTGTGGATCTATCACCGCGCGGGGATCTTAGAAGGTTTCAAAGATTTCGCTCCTTTTCTAGAATAGAGATTTTCTATCCAGAGTTCTTGGCGAAAGTGTTTTATGGATACCTTATAGT